CCTCCATTTTCAGGGGCTCAATTTAATTGGACAAATTATTATTATTATTATTATTATTATTATTATTATTATTATTATACAGGATTTATATAGCATTCAATAGTTTGCACAGTGCTTTACAAAATGAAGGCAGACATTACAGATACAATAAAATTTGGTATAAGAGGAAACAAATGAATTGGAAAAAGGGTTTAGGAATTACAACCCTTAAGAGTAGCCATCCCCCCTTTTTCAAGGGACCAAAAGTAATTGGACAAATTAATATAATCATAAATAAAATGTTAATTTTTAATATTTTGTTGAGCGTCCTTTACTGGCAATGACTGCCTGAAGTCTGGAACCCATGGACATTACCAAGGTGCAAACCATTCATAAGCCTGAAGAATAGAAAAGCCAGATTAAACTTTGCCAAAAAACATCTAAAAAAGCCAGACTAGTTCTGGAAAAGCATTCTTTGGATGGATGAAACTAAGAATAATCTGTACCAGAATGATGGGAAGAAAAAAGCATGGAGAAGGCTTGGAACACCTCATGATCCAAAGCACACAACGTCATCTGTAAAACATGGTGGAGGCAGTGTGATGGCATGGGCATGCATGGCTTCCAGTGGAATTGGGTCATTGGTGTTTATGGATGATGTGACAGAAGACAGAAGCAGCCGGATGAATGCTGCAGTGTTTAGAGATATACTGTCAGCCCAGATTCAGCCAAATGCAGCAAAGTTGATTCACAGTACAGATGGACAATGATCAAAAACACACTGCAAAAGCAACCCAGGAGATTTTGAAGGAAAAGAAGTGGAATATTCTGCAATGGCCAAGTCAATCACCTGATCTCAACCCAATTGAGCATGCATTTCACTTGCTGAAAGCAAAACTAAAGGCAAAAAGACCCACAAACAAAGAACAACTGAAGACAGCTGCAGTTAGAGCCTGGCAAAGCATCAGAAAAGAGGAAACCCAATCTTTGGTAATGTCCATGGGTTCCAGACTTCAGGCAGTCATTGCCAGTAAGGGATTCTCAACAAAATATTACAAATGAACATTTTATTTATGATTATATTCATTTGTCCAATTACTTTTGGTCCCTTGAAAAAGGGGGGGTGGCTACTCTTAAGGGTTGTAATTCCTAAACCCTTTTTCCAATTTGGGTGCACATACTCTCAAATTAAACCAGAGAGTGTGCACTTTCAGCCCATATCCATTATAGCACTATAGCTTGAAAGATTTTATTTTTCATGCAGGTCACAGAAGATAACAGTTACTGTAAATACATTTTCCAGCCTCATTTGTATAGTACTAGTAAACTCAGATTTCTTTTGTCTCCACTAATGGTCTGCATTGTGTGTGGTGCTGGAATAGTGAGGATGTTTCATTTGTTCACTCCTTTTGAGATCATTTGAGGTTGTATGGCACAGAGCCAGCATTTAAGCTCTCGCGCTCTCTCTCTCTCTCTTTCTCTCTGAGTTTCATCAGGACTCAGGAGCAGTTCTTTCTAAATGAAATGCCCTTACAACAGACAGCCTCTTGAGGCATGTGGGAACATAGATCCAAACTGAAGACACTCAGCTTCTGTAACTTGTTTGACCCTGAATATCTGTCTGGAGTCAGAAAACTCACTGGACAAGACAGGATGTGTGGCAAGCTAACTAGATTGGCCCATTAAAGCATTAATACAACACTGCAAACAGAATTTCCTTACTTAAATTTGCCAAGTAGCACTAAGACACATCTAAGGAATTTAAAGGAGAAATTGTAAATGTTTATTCAGTTGTATATACAAAACCTTACATTTCACTAATAGTAAGACAGAAACAAAAGCTTATACTGAAAGGTAAGAAAATGAAAAACAAATGTAAAAAAACATGAATGAAAAAGTAAAAGTAAAAAGTCTAATTGATGCTGTAAATCATATTAACAAATAATGCTATAACACTGATAGGACCCTGGGGTCTACTCATGCATGAAGATGTTCATAGGAAAGGTTAAAAGCATTGGCAACAGTGCCCACTTTGCTTACACTGTACTCAACTGCCAACTGAATCTACCATATGGCCGTATTACCCTATTCCTAAAAAAAAAAATCAGATTAAAAAATGACAAAGTTATCAAAATAGCTAAACATATAGTGTAGAGATGTTAAGGTTCTTACAACTTAATGTATTTTCTTCATCTGGGAGCACAGCAGCAGCTTGTTACAGACTGCATGGAGATTGTTCTATGTGCCATAGCCAGGACTTTTCTTTTGCAGACAGGGCAGGTGTAAAGCAAACCTGTGCCCAGACCATTGAGCCATCAGCTACTGCCCCAGTGTTATTGATTCTACATACGTTCCCAGTCGCAGATCTTCTCTGTGAACTCTGCATAGCACTGTTACAGCCCTGTGTGCGCTGCCATGTTATGTTACTCTGGAAGAGCTCTGTTTGCTATATTATAACAACCCTGTAAACACATACAGTGAGGAACAGAAGTATTTGAACACCCTGCGATTTTGCAAGTTCTCCCACTTAGAAATCATGAAGGGGTCTGAAATTCACATTGTAGGTGCATTCCCACTCTGAGAGACAGAATTAAAAAAAAAATTCAGGAAATCACATTGTATGATTTTTAAAGAATTTATTTGTCTTGCACTGCTGAACATAAGTATTTGAACACCTAAGAAACAGCAAGAATTCTGGCTCTCAAAGACCTGTTACTGTGCCTTTAAAAAGTCCACCTCTACTCCACTCAATAATCTAATTTAGTAGCACCTGTCTGAGCTCTTTAAAGACACCTGTCCACCCCACAGTCAGTCAGCTGCCAACTACTACCATGGGCAAGACCAAAGAGCTGTCAAAAGACACCAGAGAAAAAATTGTGGACCTCCACAAGGCTGGAAAGGGCTACAGGGCAATTGCCAAGCAGCTTGGTGAAAATAGATCAACTGTTGGAGCAATTGTTAGAAAATGGAAGAGGCTAAAGACGACTGTCAGTCTCCCTCAGACTGGGGCTCCATGCAAGTTCTCACCTCGTGGGGTATTACTGATGATAAGAAAGGTGAGGAATCATCCCAGAACTACAAGGGTGGAGCTGGTCAATGACATGAAGAGAGCTGGGACCACAGTTTCAAAGGTCACTGTCGGTAGAACACTACGCCGTCATGGTTTCAAATCATGCATTGCACGGAAGGTTCCCCTGCTCAAGTCATCACATGTCCAGGCCCGTCTGAAGTTTGCCCATGACCATCTGGATGATCCAGAGGAGGCATGGGAGAAAGTCATGTGGTCAGATGAGACCAAAGTAGAACTTTTTGGTCTAAACTTCACTCATCGTGTTTGGAGGAAAAAGAAGGATGAGTTGCATCCCCCAAGAACACCATCCCTACTGTGAAGCATGGGGGTGGTAACATCATGCTTTGGGGGTGCTTTTCTGCGAAGTAGACAGGACGACTGCACTGTATTAAGGAGAGGATGAATGGGGCCATTTATTGTGAGATTTTGAGCAACAACCTCCTTCCATCAGTCAGAGCATTGAAGATGGGTCGTGGCTGGGTCTTCCAACATGACAACAACCAAAAAGCACACAGCCAGGATAACCAAGGAGTGGCTCCATAAGAAGCATATCAAGTTTCTGGAGTGGCCTAGCCAGTCTTCAGTCCTAAATCCAATAGAACATCTTTGGAGGGAGCTGAAACTCGGTGTTGCTCAGCGACAGCCCCGAAACCTGACAGATCTAGCTGAGATCTGTGTGGAGGAGTGGGCCAAAATCCCTGTTGCAGTGTGTGCAAACCTGGTCAAGAACTACAGGAAACGTTTGACCTCTGTAATTGCAAACAAAGGCTTCTGTACCAAATATTAACACTGATTTTCTCAGGTGTTCAAATACTTCTGTTCAGCAGTGCAAGACAAACATATTCTTTAAAAATCATACAACGTGATTTCCTGAATTCTTTTTTTTAATTCTGTTTCTCAGAGTGGGAATGCACCTACAATGTAAATTTCAGACCCCTCCATGATCACATCAAAAAAAGGGGGAAAATCATATTTATAATGTTTTTTATATCTACGCACAAATGTTTGCCTTTCATTTTTATTTTATACTGAATGAGGTGTGTTTTACAAGGCGAAGGTTTACAATCACTTTAAGTGACTGACCATAGCCTACACACAAGGTACTGTCAAAATGCATGCAAGCCAAAATCAAAGATCAAATGAGTTTCTGCCTTATCCTTAAGCTGGTTGTAAAGGCTCAAGGTTTTGTACCTATTGCATTCTATGCATGAAGGTAAAAAACCTTCTGTGTACAGCAGCTCCCCCCAAATACTTATCTGAGTGCCATCACGACCCAGCAATTTGTACAAGAGCCTTGGCTCTCTGGGGCTTCTCTCCCCTCATTGGCTGAGCCATTGGTTCCCGCTGTTGTCAATCACAGCCAGTGAGCAATGAGGAAAGAGAGAGGGCTGAGACGAGCCATGGCTCTGTGTTTGAATGGTCACGCAGAGTAGCAGCTTGGGAGAAAGCCTGCTTGGGTGCCCCCATAGCAGGCTGCTTGTTCTGGGGTCACTCGGCAGGAGGCTGGGGCCAGGAGCACCAGCGAGGGACCTGAGAAGAGAAGGATCAGGACTGCTCTGTGCAAAACCACTGCACAGAGCAGGTAAGTATGGCATGTTTGTTATTTTTTTTTAAATTGCCTTCAATATCACTATGACTCAAGGGAAATTGTGGCTGTATGAAAACTAAAATGCCCTCAGTTCTTTCCCTCTCTTTTACCTATTATTCAGGAGCCATTCACACCACGTGTTCTGTGTGTGCTTTCTTAGCTTAGGAAAATTGGCCACATTCCCCCTAAACAAATAAGCACACTTTTAATCAATTGGTGGATGGGTGTGAGATTGTTTCTAGGATATATATATATATATATATATATATATATATATATATACATACACTATATTGACAAAATATGCCATGACCACGGGTATATAAAATCAAGCACCTAGGTATGCAGACTGCTTCTACAAACATTTGTGAAAGAATGGGTCACTCTCAGGAGCTCAGTGAATTCAAGCGTGGTACCATGATAGGTTGCCACCTGTGCAATAAGTCCATCCATGAAATTTCCTTGCTACTAAATATTCCACGGTCAACTATTAGTGGTATTATAACAAAGTGGGAACAACTAGGAACAACAGCAAGTCAGGCACGAAGTGGTAGGCCATGTAAAATGACAGAGCAGGGTCAGCACATGCTGAAGCGCACAGTGCGCAGAAGTCGCCAACTGTCTGCAGAGTCAATAGCTAAAGACCTCCAAACTTCATGTGGCCTTCAGATTAGCACAACAACAGTGTGTAGAGAGCTTCATGGAATGGGTTTCCATTGCCGAGCAGCTGCATCCAAGGCTGGCATCACCAAGTACAATGCAAAGCATTGGATGCAGTGGTTTAAAGTTTAGAGGTATGGACCACACTTATCAGAGGTGCTATGCTGAAGCATTGTGACTTTCACAAGTATCTGAACATGTACCTTAGTCGTTAAAAATATAAGTGTCCCAGGGATTCCATTTTTTACTGTCTAACAAAGGCTGTTGCATTTGACACCAAGAGCTGTGTGCCCACAGGTTCCAGTTACATAAATCCAGATCAGCTCATGCATAAGTCCTAAAAGTGGAACTACAATGTATCTTAGCACTATAAACCAAAAGCACTATTTAATTCATTTTTCATATTCAAGAACTCCCCCATCTATTCATGTGCCTATGTTTTATTTTGCTGAGAAATCAATTTGAAAAACACCCTCTAGCATTTCTGGCAGTGTCCATCTTGAGTAAAGGCAGATAATTCATGTAGCATTTACTTCCTGGAATCCATCTGCCCTAAGCTCAGGTATTGGCTGAGCTGAGAACCTCCCTCCTTTCCTGAAGACGGCTGGGATGTATGACTTGTATCATTTGCCTAGGCGTGGAAACCAGGAAATAACTGACGAAATGTACAAAAAAAGTTTTAAAACAAGTAAATATAATATAATTTCCTATTGATTTACTGATGCTAGCAGCATAAGGATTAAAAATAGTCCATGTTGATTGAGAGTGAAGTTCCACTTTAATGTGTTTCCTTTGACCTAGACCTATGCTAATAGAGCATAATTCATTTAACTGGAGAGCTAACTACGGGTGGCATAAGGTACAGTCTGTGAGTATAAATACTCTTTTAATGTGACCAACAATACTAAAATAATTAATTGATCATCTTATGTTTTCCCCTTCAACCTCTTTTGCTAATTTTATATATCTGCTACAACATACTGTGACGAAAGGTTTTTAGTGACCTTCACCTCTGAATATCATTAGTAAAATCTGTTTACAGCATGCATCAGTTCTTCCAATAATGTAAAAGTTCATGTGTTGCAACAAAAACACAAATTACAGCCCCTTTTTTGCAGTTATGCCAAACTCCAAAGCCTACCATTAATTGCAGGTAAATTCATACTAATGCACACATGAATAATTTAAATGGAGGATTGTCTGTTAGAGGGCAATCTGGTCATGTGACTTCCTGTTAACTTTTTTGACTCATTTGTATCATGCAGTATCTTCACTGATCGTGAAATGATGACTTAATACTCTTGGTTAAGGCTTGTATAATATGGATCTTAAGTGGATAAGATGACCTCATGCCCCAATTTAAGCAGCAACAAAGCTCAGACATCCTACCAAAGAATAATCTCAGAAGCAGCACTCTAGTTCAAACACAAAAGGTTTTATATCCAATTACTTTCAGTGCAGTGGAACAATGGGATTCAGAATGGCTGCTTAGAGCATTGAAAAAAAGCTTTATTAAACACGTTCAATATAACATTAAATTACAACCTTGCTGGTGTTCAAAGAGTACCCCTTTGAAATTTAACTGTCTTATTAATTTGTTCAAAGCTTGCAGACTTAAAAACATTAATTTACTACATTTCTAATTATATTTTGGTGGTCACTTTTTTTTTACATGTCCAATGTGCAATTTAAAGCAGATTTATCAAAGTATAAAAAAGAAAAATTATTCTTCATAAGGGCTGAAGTGGAATACATTTGTAAGATATATTTCTGGAAAAATATCCTCTGAAAATTATTTTCCTTTTATATATACATGAAATACCTTGATCAGAGCTGTTCCATTAAACTGCACGCGACTGTTAAACACTAATGAGCGGTTCATGTTTGGGAATTTTTGGCCAAACAATTTTCTTAAACACATGCTCCGTTCCTGGAAATTGGCTGTACATGTGAATATTTCTAAATACTCATATACTACAGTATGTAGCCATATTCCTCTTATCAGATTCTATTAGGAGAAATTTCCAGTCAGTAAAAAGCTAAATTGCTTGCTGACTTCAAAAAAGGGGAAGTTAAACTTTAGTTCCTCCTCACCCTGACCTGACCTGCAGAGCCTCTCAGCCCTGACAACAATTTGACCTCCTGACTATAGCACCCAGGCTGCTACTCAGCCCTCCTCTCTAACAATTAGGATTATAGCCCCCCCTAGCTAACTAGGAGGGTGCTACAGGGGCTTTTTGTCTTTTTTTTATGGTTTATTTGAGGTCAACAGACGCTTTTATTGGCTACCCTATCCATAGCAAACTTTTTCTTTTTTTTGCATGACTTACATGTAAAAAAAATGTTTTTTTTTAGGGGTGGTATTTGGAGTTGTTCTTTTAATGTGGGTACATATTGATTTTTATTTTATTTCATGTTGTTAAGACATTTAAATTAGATGAAAATGCTTTTTCAGGCTTCTAAATTCTTTTGTTTTTTTTTGTATATGTTATTATTTTTTTTTTGGTTTGGTGAAGCAGTTACATATCACTGACCATCTTGCTAGCAGGGTGATGTGTGTTAAAAAATTTAGTAATATGCCAAAAAAGTGGTCTTTAGGGGTAAGATTTTAAACCTTTTATTGGCTTTTAATGTTTATTGTAAGTCATTCAACCCTTGTATCATATGTGCCAAAATGGTTTAGGCGGTTATACATCCTTTCATTGTCTGTTTCACAAAGGTGGCTACAAATTTTTTGGCAGTGTTAGTATGGTAATAATTTTATATCTGTCTGTGGACATGTTTCTGGCGGTGTCAGTATGGTACAGATTTTATATCTGTGGACATAATTATGGATGGTAATAAACTGTAATGTTACTCATTACTTCAACAGATCAATATGAAGTTAAATTTCTATATTTGGTTAAAAAAACACTGATGTGAATAAAAAGTATTATTCTATTACTTTTTCAGCAGTTTTTGTTGTGCTTTTTTTAAATAGCAATCAGCTCCGGGTGCCAATCTTACACCACTGGTATGATCTGTAATTTTTTAATTCTTAATGAGTGCATGACAGAAACTGACCAGCAGCAGGACAGTTTTGAATCAGAGAGAACAAGGACAGCCATGGTGAACTAATACCTAATTCTTTTCTGCCAGCCAAAGTAGTCCATTACTGTTTAATGAGAAATAATGTGTCATTGATAGGAGTGCTGCTGCCATATCTAAGCTGGGGTTATTGTAAAACAGTAAATCAATATGCTGTTGCTATGACTGACTGTAAAAATCATACTGTTCTGCAACACCAGAATGTATGTATTTTCAATATTGCCCTCAAAATGCTGCTGTATGATGTTTTATTATTTTTTTATTTTTTGCATGACAGTGCCCATGCCTTTTATGAACAGCAGTTTGCCTATGTGCTCTAAAAATGGCTATACTTTACCAAGATGCATCCCTCACAAATCCCACGACTACTGAAGAAGTGAATAATGAAATATCTTAACACAGCTAGTAGAATTAAATGAATATGAAACCGCAAACACAATTACTTATTAATAAAAGTTAGGAACGCCTAGATTTCATTAGTCCCAACACTTTTAGTGATATATTTCATTTGTTGGTGTGTGCTCTGCCATCAGAAAAGCAATAATGCCAAAAATGAACAAGTGATTGGATCAGACAGTAATATCCTGAAGTACCATATGGTGATCACCTCGAAGGTCATTGTTAGCGGCTGATAAAGATCAGTAGCAGCAGAACACGGAAAGAGGACAAATATGAGCATGCATATACTGTCTGATGTGTCAAAATTTTAGTTTAACCCCAGCTTCTTACCAAATGACAAAGATACTGAAATACTGAAAACGGGATTTCTGAGAAAACTGGAATACCCTGTGTTTGATTGGAGCCCCTTTGGGTAGACAGGCAATGCAACCACCCTTGCTCACAGCAACCTGGCATGCAATATTCTGCGCCTTTCATTACTATTTAAAATGTGGACTAAGGATGTACCTTTCAAATTTGATGGCTCTTATGATCACGCTGGAATTACACTGGCAAGCGGTATCATAGGTGAAATCTGCAACTGCAGCTCTTGTTCTGACAAAGCATTTCCTGGTAATCCCCTTTAAGCAATTCTAGCTCAGAATTAACTATTTTTTGGCCATGTTTTTTCTTGAAAAATAATAACTTACAGTTGCTACTTACGTACACTACTCTAGCCAACATCCCTTAGAGCGCACTTAGGGGTGAATATATAAAAAAAAATTGCAAAGCTATTCGCCCTGTGAATCTGCATGTGCATTTGAATGGAGATAAAGATCATAGTAAATGAGTATATTTCCTGTGATAAGTGGCCATAATGGTGTGGTATATTCCTGATCTCCAAGAATGGATACATTAAAACTGGAGAGAAAATAGTCTGAGAACATTTGTTTTTGCCCCTATTTGCACAAAACAAATGTACATGTAGTTTCACAGGGGAATAGCTCTGCAAACGTTTTACAGTAATACACTCTCCACCCTTTCCACGTAATCTGCACTAAACACTTGTAATGCTTTTGCCATTACCTCTAACTAGAGATGAGCAGATTAATTAAAAGGATTGGAATATATGTATTCAGATTTGTTCATTCTTTAACGACCACACTACCACCAGTAAACTACCACTCTGGACATCAATTTCTGGTGTTTCATTTAAAGCTGTTATTCCAGATAAAGCCCTTGGGCAGCAAGTATGTCCCTTAACCAGTTGCCATCCACTCTATAGCAGCTTGACTGCTACAGGGCGGACTCCCTGTGCAAAATCACGTATATATACACATGACCTGCGCTACCGCCATAATCGCGGGTAGGGGGTGTGTGCGCGCCTACCTACTCAGTGATGCTGTGATTCTGTGCTGCACTGATCAGTCAACAGATTCAGGCCAGTGATGTTTGGCCTGAATCTGCTGAGTGCTCAGTGCCCTATCACAGATCTTCTGGTGCCTGTGTTTACATTACACAGGTTCAGGAAGTGATGCAATGAAAGCAGATCCACATGAGTCAAAAGCACTACACCTTACAGTAAAATCACAGCTAGGTCACTTTTATCCCCC